AGAGGGAGAGGGAGAGGGAGAGGCAGAGGAGCAGGGCTCACCCAATGTGGGGTAGGAGCTCAATGAGGGTATTACTTTAAATTAAATTCATGGGTTGACAGTTTTTGGACCATTTAGGTGATAGAAATTTGTGGTACATATTTGTGTGAGGACCAGTTTGTTGGTAATAACACCTCAGGAATTTCCCTCTTTGTTCTTCTCAACAAATCATCTTTCTTTGGGGTGGGGATTATGGGACAAGTTTATTTCTGATTACTGTGAGGTATAGCCCCTGGAATCCCAGCTCTATGGAGGAAGATTTTCCTATTAGGGTCTCCACGCTGGACAGGCACAGAGATTTTTTTCTCTACATAAACCTTGAGGTTTATGAGGCATTAAGCACCAGAAATCAACAGCAGGTTCAGAAAATTTCCTCAGTACAAAATAGCTTTAGTAATCCACTGGTTTCCCACTTTCACGAATGTTTTGGTCTGATTATATCTTACTAACCTACTAACCCCAAAAAGTTTCCTAATTTATACGTTATTCAATTTTTATAATTTTCCTGTTACCTTTTTTGTGCTTTTAAGTTTTTCTTTTCTGTATTTTTAGCTAGCATATTTAATTGTTTTTAGCAGGAGAAGCCTAATCAGCCTTGTTACCTGGGTCAATGTCTTTTTCATCCCTGTATCCTCAGCATATAGAACACTGCTTGGCACATGAAGGAACTCAATTAGTTTTTGATTGTTTAATGAATAAATCCCTGTCTTTGACTCTTTCATTCCTGCCTCCACCACCCACAACACATCCATATTTTCTGTGCCCTAATTAAAGCTCTTTTACATTTTATACATGTATGCCTTCTATTTTTCTATATTTACTGAGCTTTGCCCTGACCTCCCAGTATTTCCTGGTTACCTCTCCTATGGAAGAGTTTTCATTCTTTTTTTTTTTAATTTTTTTTTAACATTTATTTATTTTTGAGAAAGAGAGACAGAGCAGGATCAGGGGAGGGGTAGAGAGAGAGGGAGTCACAGAATCTGAAGCAGGCTCCAGGCTTTGAGCTGTCAGCACAGAGCCCAAAGTGGGGCTTGAACTCACGAACCACGAGATCATGACCTGAGCCAAAGTTGGTCGCTTAACCAACCGAGTTACCCAGGAGCCCCTGGAACAGTTTTCATTCTTGTCAACTGCCATAGTTTGGGATCAGCACTGACTTCACTTTTTGTGACTACTTCTGATAACTCACTCTTCCACTTTTATCAAATATCTGCTGCTTTTCTGAAGATCATGCTATCCTATTATAACATTCTTTTTCTGATTTTGTTGCTACCATGTGTGAACTTCCAGTCATACCTCCACATTTCTTGAGAATTTCAGCATGTGGTTCACGATTTCAACTATACTTCATCCCCCAATATAAAGTATAACATAGTATTTAAAAGCACAGGTTGGACAACCAAATGCAAGTCCAAGACTTATCCCTTATTAATAAAGAACTCTGGGAAGTTACCTAATATTTCAGTGTTACAGTTTCTTCATTTGTAAAATGGTAATAATGATATTATTACCTGATAGCATTGTAACAATTACATGCAATAAGGCATATAAAGTACTTAGAACAGTATCTGGCACTTAGTAAATGCTGAATAAATTTGAACTATTTTCATTATTATGCTCTTACCTCATCCTAAAAATCCTCCTTCTGCATGCTTATGACTCATACAACACCCTTTGTCTCAATGCTTTCTCATTTGTCCACTTCTATAAAATTTCTCAGTTATTATCTAAAATGGCATTTCTGAATTTTACTTTAATCCTTCTCAAGACCTACCTCTTCTTTTCAGCCAATGACTTTTTATCTGAATCCAGAAATGTAATCCATTTGGAAATACACAGTTCAGAATTTCTCTATATTCATAACAATGCTCTATCTTCTCTCTGGGGGAAGTAATGTCTGGGTCTTCTCTACCCATTGTGTTCTTTCTTCTTAGTTTTTATCTTTAATCTCTCCACCAGCAAATTGCTTTAACCTCTGAACTTGACCAAGGCTTACTTATTCTAAAATAAAACTAGATATTTCTCCCTTGCACCTCTTTTTTTCTCATGTTACTATCCTATCTCTTCTTCTAATCTTCTTGAAAGGGTAATCTGTACTCTCCCATTTTCCAGTGTCTCACTGTTAACTTCCAGAAATCTGAAAATTTTATTTCATCACTTATAAAACTTACTTTTCAAAATTAAGCAGCAATTGGATTGTCAAACCAAAAATCCCTCTATTAAGTTTCTCTTACAACTTCTTTGCAGCATTGAATATATTGACCACCCACTTGAAACATTCCTCCATCATTAGAGTTCATGTTACTATCTTGCATTCTTTCTTAGAGGCGGTGGTGAAGTAACAGAGGTATAATGATAGTCAAATACTCATGTTCAAGAAAGGCCCCCTTATGTATTGATCTTAAATAAGACACTTAGCTCCAATTTCCTTATCAGTAAAATGGGCATAATATTTACTTAACTTGTACACTAATCGATAATGAAAATAAATAAAATAATGGATCTGAAAATAGCATGAAAGATATAAAATATATAAAGTACCTGAGTATATTTTAATAAACAGAAAACAGAATGCAGAAAAGTATATTAAAAGACTTGCTACCAAATCTGCTATGAAGTTCTAAAGGACCTCAAGGTTTTTTTTTTCTTAAAGAACCCCAAGTTTTGCATCTGACCTAAAAGGTTTTTCACTTTTGCAAGGTTTCAAAGTGCCTTCACCAAGGCAGTACCACTCTTGTCAGGAAGTTAAGAGACACTGTATCGAAAACTCTGACTTCTGGGACTCATTCAAAATGCAAAAAATGATTAGTGTGACTATACTGGGGCACTTTCATGTTTAAAATATTGTGGAAAATCAAAATATTAATGATGCCTCTTCACACACACAAGCATGCAAACTGAATTGGTCCAATGTAAGAAATATTACCCGTTCTACAAAAAAATTAATATTAGAAAAGGAAATATTACCAGTTCTTGGAGAAGGGGCCCTTGCAATTTCTAAGGAGCAAGGTTTCTTTGTAACTGCTATGTCCGTGAGATCACATAGAAAGTTCTCATTTTCTGAAGGAAATGTATCGAGAGAAGCAGATGGTACAATTTCCATAGTGTAATTCCTCTTCTTTGGATAGGACTCCTGAAAGGAAGGAGAAAAAATAAAAATAGCTTTGTGATAAAGACACAGCTTGTTTGATTTATAAAAACTAGAAAAGATAATCAGATTCATCAGTTCTTCCAAAACTGATTAAGAGATGCTGATTCATCTGTTTGAATAAGTTATATCATCATGTAACCCCAATATTATCAGTGATCTTTTTCAAAGGTTCCTGACAGTTCGGTTCCCCTGAATTTATCACTGACATACTAAAGTTCATGATCCTTTGTCATGATCTCTTTTTGTAGTATATGGCTATTTTCTAGTTGTGGCATAATCTGTCGTTTAATCAACAGTTATTCCCAAGACTCTACTCCCTTGCCAGCTTCCTAGGGATAGCCAGCCATGTGACTCAATTTTGGCCAGTTAGAAAAAAGGGAGACTTCTGGAAAAATATTTTTCCCCAGAGAAAGAAACATGCAATGGGGCTCTTTCAGAGCCTTAGCCACCCTCAGTTTCCTCTCTCTGGATGCAATTTTGATGTCTGCACACAGGACAGGCATGTTGTGACCATAAGGTAATAACCTTAAGATCAAAAAGGTAATAGGCTAAGAATGGCAAGAGAAGGATGAAACATGCCTAGGACCTTGATGATATCACGGAGCTACTGAAAGAGCCCCAGGACTGAAAGAGCCCCAGGACTGGTTAGTTACTACAGACTTCTTAAATAAAAAAGTCCTTGTTGTTTGAGCCATTGCTAATAGGGATTTTATTTTATTTTATTTTATTTTTTTTGTCATTTCAGGTTAGGATAAAATGAAGGTCCAATTCTATACTACTGATTCTTTTAAGCATTCTAAAAATAGGAATTAATTTCATTTCACAAGATCTTAATTTCATATACAAGGCATTCATTGGTCAACAGCTATTATTTGGCATCTATCATATCTACTTAGGACTATACTAAGTGCTAGAGATTTTTAAAACCTAATAAGGTACAATCCTTGCCCTCAGAAAGTTCACAGTATACTAGAGAAGAAAAACAGATACTTGCATAATGAATTTCACTATTAATTATGTTTTGTTTTTGATGTTTGTTATTTTTACAAAGCATAGTTCACTATCAAAAGAAAAAGACAAGAAAAAAAATAAACTCATTTTCAAAAAAATCTCCCAAGATATGACCCAAGGTCAGTAAAGATTTAGTATAAGCTCCTATTTTTTCTATAATGGTATTTACAGTACTGTAGAATAAGTATTCAAGGTCAGTGTAATTGCTTTCAGACCATACCAGACCCTCACACATCAAAGAATCAATTATGTTCACTCTACTCTATTGAAAGCAGGAAATTGTGAGTAATTTATTTTTAACAACAAAGGGTGACAAAGTAGAAAGTATCCAGGGGAAAGCAATCAAGATGGTATATGATTTGAAAATCATGTCACAGATGAAATGATGAAAGGAACTGCCATGTTCTATCCTGGAGAAGCCTTACAGCAGCATCATAGTTTTCTCAACACATTTGAAAGGCTATCCCTAAAGAGCTCTCCCACAAAGCAGGGGATGGGGAGAAGTTGCTATGGTAGATTATTCCAGAGTTCTTAAAGGCAGAACAAAGACCAACATTTATAAGTCAAAAAGGGCAAATCCGAGTCAAAACAAACAAACAAAAAAGCTCTATGAATTAATAATATTGCTTATCTTTTATTTTTTATTATTATTTTTAATATGAAATTTATTGTCAAGTTGGTTTCCATATAACACCCAGTGCACCAAAAGGGCCCTCCTCAATACCTATCACCCACCCTCCCCTCCCTCCCACCCCCCATCAACCCTCAGTTTGTTCTCAGTTTTTTGAGTCTCTTATGCTTTGGCTCTCTCCCTCTCTAACCTCTTTTTTTTTCTTTTAAACAAAAATGCACTAATGTAACAATAGCTGAAAATACACTAGAAAGCAACAAAAGAAACTCCTAATTACTGGAAATCTTTAAGTAGAACTATATATTGATAAAATTATCTATAAAACACATTGTAAAGTGAATATATCAGATGACTATAAACTCCATGAAGGCTGGAATTTGTTTTGTTCACCACTCTATCCCCAGATTCTAATACAAGTCCTGCCATATAGGGGCAATAAATATTTACTGATCAAATGAACACTCTCTAATGTCCTTTTTAAAAAATTCTAACTATCAATTAGGGAAATGATTATGCCTTGTTCAGATATAAATTACTTTGCTCTTCAGTTTGGTTATTATTATCCTTTACTGGTATTGCTTACTGTTTTACATGTCAAAAGTAAAAACTGAGTTAATGATAATAAGATTACAAAGAGTCATGAAAAAAGTCCCTAGCTTAAACCCTAGTTCATCTTAAAATCAAATTAATCAGAACAACCCATTCTTCATGGATTTAGTTAGATTGGAATTTTACTCTGTTTATAAAGAATTATGAATATTTAATGGCCTTGAAAAATGCTCTGTAATTTAACCACACAGAATGCGTTACTTTGCTTTCTCCTTAAAAATGAAGTATATTATTTATTAGAGAAATATTAGAAAATATAAAGAAAGAAAAAAAAAATCACATGAAAACACAGCATGCTCAGGAAACTAATAGTAACATTTTGCTGTATATCCTCCCAGACTGCTTCCCTCTGTAAATGTGTGTGTGGACATGTGAGTGTGTGCAAAGGAAAGAAAAAAATATTTTAAACAACAATGAAATACACCCTCTTCTGCTTACTAAGAAAGTGCCATCATTTCTCATTAAAGAAGGCACACTCAACAAAATATCTGACTAGTATCCCTCAACAGAGGGGTAGATATGTGATATAATAAAATAATGAGATGAATCTATGTGTGTCCACTACTCAGTTTAGAACATTACCATGAAACCCAGGCTTCCCACCTGTGCTCCCCTTTCCAATTTCTCCTCCTCCCTCCCCAACCATGGCTAATATTTGTTCTGAACTTTGTGTTCCTTGAGTTGTTGTTGAAATTTAACTATATATGTAAGCAGCATTGATAAAGAATAAATTGTTTTGTACTACATGTTTTTGACTTTCATAAGAATAGTATAAAATATTCTTGCTCTTCTATGACTTTTTCAATCAATATAAAGTTTCTGAGTTTCATTTGTTTTCAAAGTGGTAACAGAATTCACTGTATAGGTATACAATAATACTTTACAGATTCTCCTGACAGTGGACTTTTAAACATTTCCTAGGTGTTTTATTATTAAGCACAATTTGCTATTAACATTCTGAATGAGTCTTTTTGTATAACTAACCAAGGTATGTAGGCATTGGGCAGAGAGTCAAGAACAGACACACGGTGAGAAAAATTAATGAAATCAAGAGTTCTACACATACAGGAGTTTACAGCAAGAGGTGATCAGGAGAACCAAGACAGGATATCCTGTAGGTTCTACAGAAATCTTGAGGAGGACACTGCATTTTCCCACCCAAAGTGGGATGAAGGTTGAAGGGATTTTTCACAAGACCTTAATTTCATATACAAGGCATTATTGGTCAACAGATATTAACTGGGAATCTATCATATATACTTAGGACTATGCTAAGTGCTAGAGATTGATATCAAGATATCCTTATATCAAGATATTATCTATAAATATGTATATGTATTATATGTAATGCTTTGTATTCTGATATGTATTTACTTCTAATAATGCATTCTGAACAAGTTTCAATGACAAATATGTGTCTACATGATAAATTTAAGGTTAAGTCTCAGTATACACATGGTCATGATTTATTTTAGTGAATCTTATCATATTGAAATTTCGATGTTTTGATTTTAAGGGAACATTCTTATGCATATACCTTTGTTTAAATATTCAACTATTTCTTTTGAAATAGAATTCCTGTAACAATAGGTATATACCATATGCTTACATTTAATTGAATCTGTTTCTGGACTTTCTAATTGGTTCCATATGTCAATCTATTCTAGTACCAAAATCACACTGTTTTGATTGCTGAAACCTTAAAATTAATCTTACTATCTGGTAGGATAAGTCTCTCCTCATGTTCATCTCTGTCAAAACATTCACGATTATCCTCATGTTTATTTTTAAAAAACAATCTTTAAACATTTTGTCAACTTCTCCTCAAATCATTCCCTCTCCTTTGTTTCCTGTCAGTAAATTGTACTGCCATACACCAGCCACTCTAACAATTTGGGGGCTGTTCTTCCATCCTCATTCTTCCTCAATGCTATACCCAGTCAATCCCCAAGTCCCTTACTTCATCATTGAATTATACCTCAAACACTTTCATTTCTCTCCATTCTTGCTACCACCCTAAGTCCAGGTCACCACTGTATCTCACTTGAACTACTATAACAACTTCTTAACTAGTCTCCTTGCCTTCTCTGTTCCTCTTCCAATTAATTCACTTTCAAACACTAGCATAAGGTTATGCTAGTAAATTATGTCAAAATCAACTCATTTACTTTCATCATAACTTTTAGAACATAAAATGCTCTAGTCATAATACATGTTGATTCTTTTTAAATACTTAACATGGCTTTTCATGATATCTCAGAGTTTCTATACTAAATGATTTCATTAGATGCATTAATGATCCAGATAGCATGCTAAATGAAATAACTAGATCTGGGAGAATAAACCAGAGGTTAAACATAATCCCATTAATATATAAGATAAGTGAGGTTAATTTCTAAAGACGTGCTTGTCTATCACCTAGCAAAGTACCATATTCATGTTAGGACTCTGTCAATACATACTAAAAATGAATATATAAAATAATTAATATTTTCGTTAGTATTTTAAGGCCAACATCCTCCACTGGAATTAAAAAACCATAGAGGCGGGGCGCCTGGGTGGCGCAGTCGGTTAAGCGTCCGACTTCAGCCAGGTCACGATCTCGCGGTCCGTGAGTTCGAGCCCCGCGTCAGGCTCTGGGCTGATGGCTTGGAGCCTGGAGCCTGTTTCCGATTCTGTGTCTCCCTCTCTCTCTGCCCCTCCCCCGTTCATGCTCTGTCTCTCTCTGTCC